TGTCATTCTAACACTTTTTATGTGCCGATTAAGACATGCATAATAAAGAAAGATATAAATACCTAATGGAACTAGTCAAAAAGCTTGCCTAATAACTTGATTACTCAACATAGACTGAGTAGCTTTAAATTTTAATAAACTTATAAATATGAGAAAATGTTGCATCCGTGCCCTGGACATGCGGACGACGATGTGGATCGCACTACGGCGTGGGATGACGATGTGGTATGATCCACGCCGTCGACCGCACTTCTGATTTAATGGACGTAATATTTTCTATAGAAATTGAGTCGTTTTACCCCTTATCAAGTTTTTAGGAGTGATTAGTTGAGTCATAAAACGGTCCTTCAATTAATACAATTATTATTCTTTAGAATATATTGAACCGGGAGGCTTAACTTGTATTTTTAGCTTTTATTAATTTGCAATGAATTTGTTGTTACACCCACAAATTAGATATTAGTATTGCCATAACAAAAAGTCCACATATTGCTTTCGCTTGAACATCTAGTCTACTCCTGAATGCTCCAAGCAATCTAAATCACATTCCAACCGTAGATTATTCAACAGGTTTTTGCTATAACTAAGCTTAGTTATAAACCATATGTTATCATTTGGACATTAGGTAAACATGAAGTAATTGCAGATGACCATATAACCTCCATTGGATATTGAAATACACTATGAAGGAAACTCTATTCATTATCTTTTCAATAGGCTTGCCTTTAGTTCATTCTAAGGTATACTCTTTTGATTCTTATTAGTATGAACAAGCATCCGATTCTATTCTCTTTTGTTCAATTGTTTTCGTTGCGATGTAATTGATTATAAGACTTTTTAAGTTTAATTTTGGAATTGAAATCTATTATCGATTTGTGAAATTTAATAAAGTTCAAATTGCCATTGGTTTCACTCAATTAGCTCAATTAAGTCGAGCCATACAAATATTACCAAAACACTTGAGAATTTTACACATTGAAGCCAATTGAATTAATTCAAATGAATTAGCTTCAGTAGTTTAAATTAAATTTTTCTTAAGATGTTTTAAAGTGGTTCAAACATAATTGAATCCATAAAATCAATTAACATGGCCATGGTCAACCCTTTGACCATGAAAGTTCCCACTTAGATTATCCACTACACCATGAACCTAAGTGGACTCGGGACTTTCAAATAACCTTGACACGAAGTCTTAGAGCCCACTTAAAGTGTTATATATTGGCTCAGACCTTTATGTCCTAATTGGCCATATAGTTCAGCCAATTAGTCGGGTTAAGCTAGGGTGCCTCTTACCATTGAAGGGTTTAAATTGTTCAATTTATTTTGATCTTCAAATTGATCAAACTAGTTAGACCCTAAGACCATGATAGGATGTCCATTGGCATAATCAATCTATACATGACCATTTAACCCATTAATTGTGCTATTTAACTCTAATTTTTTCAGTTAAACCCAAAAACATATGTCCATCAAAACATATGTCAGCCTTCTACCTACATATGCACACACTTAGATGCTGCGACTAGGACATTATGCATTAGATGGTGTACTAGGCTAGGACTAGGGTGCATATGGAGTTTTTTAGATGTCATAACTATTGTTCTTTGTTGTTTTATTTGCCCTAGCTAAACATTTTGCATGCTACCTTTTGTGTGTATACTACGGTGTGAGACGTGTGCACTAGTATGTTAGGGGCAGTCTCTTACAGGGAGCATGTCCGACAAGGAGGAGCATTAATAAGTTAAACCAACATATCTTATGCAGGTGCTTGCTTAGTTATCCTCCCACTAGACATGGTTCATTATGTTGCATGTAGATATCTTTTTGTACTTACCATATTTCCATTCAGATTGAATCCTTTATTTAGACTTTTACCATGTACTTTTTAGAGTGCCTAGGTAGAGTGTGTCAGAAATAAGGTAGGGGCATGAGTTCCGAGATGCCAAATGAGTTAGACCACATGATGAGGATCAAGAGTTGTAAGCTCGTGTCACTTACCTTAATTTTGATTTCTCTTTGATGTATAGAATTAGGCAGGGTAGGTATGTGCGGTGTATGGTCGGCGTTTTGCTTTTTTGTGATATGTTACCGACTTAGTGGCACCCAACTTTATATTCTTTGTAATTGGCTTGTTTTCTTATGCATCGTGTTGTGTACTTGCTAGTTACTTGTTCTTTGTTTGTGGCTTGTCGGGGATCATTGCAAATATAATTTAGGATGTCCGAAGGCCTAAAACTATAATTTTTTTAAACCTTAATAAATGATTAAAGCTAATCAAAATTTAGGATTAAAACATTGCAAGATTTTCAAAACCTGGTTTTACTTTCCTACATGGCCTTCATAGTGAATTTAAAACATTTTACATAACATGGATATCACCCAAGTCATACTAATAGAGCCTCCACATTAGAACTTATGTTGCTCATTGCATCATATTTGCATGTCCCAAAGAGAAGTTCTTACGCTTCTTCAACCTTCCTAACAAAGCATAAGATTTATACTTAGGTGGTTGTCTAACGTATTTAAGCTGTTAGAGGCTTCCCCGACCAAGACGAGACATAAGTCTATTGTGAGAGTGTCTTTACTTTGTAGTCGTACATCTCTTTTATTTCTACTCCAACGGCTTCATCGTCACTTTGAAAGGTATAAGTCCCACCTCTACTTTTTATCTATACAGGATCATAAGATTTAGAGTTTCTTTCTCTTGACTTTAGAACTACCGAGGTTCCTTTAGATGTCATAATTCACAAATTGCTGAAAAAGAATCTTTGATTATGTTGGGTTAACTACCTCCACGAACATGTATGCTTAGAGTCTTAATAACTTGGGATGAAGGTTCCTTGGTATCCTGCCCCAACTATTTCTACCCGATTAGGATTACTCTACCTCTTCTTTGATATACCTCCTTTGAGCCATATCACTCATTTGACTCTTCGTCGATGCATCTCGTAGACCTATATTGCGGACAGGGCGCTGCCTGTTTGAGATACAGTGATTCACCCTCTTTCTTTATGGCTTGGTTAGATTTAAAAGCATAGTGTGGACCCTATGAGGTGATCTGATTATTTTATAGGTCTTGATTGCCAATGAGCCACCATCCCTATGAGATTGTGAGAGACTCATTCTCTGCTTGTGCGGCTAGAAGTGACCTTAGAAAGCGTCGAGATGCTCCTGTGGAATACCCATCTTTTGTGACACCCTCTCACTAGTTATTACTTAAATGCAAACAAAACTTCTTTAATCGAGAGTATTTTTGGGCATCCCCTAATGTGTAATTAACCAAATTGGAAACATCCCTTTAGAAGTACTCTTGACCCAAACCAAACACACAAATTTGGTTCTCTCGTTACTTGGGTAGATTATATAGGTATTCTTTCTTGGATATTCGGTTCAGGGTGTTTCAATCCAATCCTGTTTACATTCTTGACCTATTACATGAGGTTTACCTCACATAAGCTCTTCAGTTTCTTTCTTTAATTTGTCTGTCTAGTCTCCGTCTTATTTCCCTTCTTCCAATCTCTCCTTTTCTCTAAATCATTCTGGCGATTCAAGTAATGAGGTACTTTGGAAAAGGGAATCCTAAGATGCTGATTAGACAAACTGATGACTTCGAGTTAAAAAAAAAAAAAAAACCAAAATAATGTCACTTAATTAGGTGGATGGGTTAAGAAAATAGGAGTATTTATACACATATAACACAATTCTCATATTACTTACCCATCTAACATTTAAACATCTATATTTATATATACACCACTTAAGTTTTAAAAAACATATAAAGAAAGCAAATATTCCTATTTTTTAAAATTTAAATAAATATTTTCATGCATAACTTTATGACATCAATATATCATAGTTATTAATATAAAACATTGAGTGTTAGATATGTAGATATAAAAGAATTGTGTGTCATGCATGTAAATTTTTTTAAATATTAATTTTATGTGTCATTGCTCACTGTACAAGATTAAGTGAGTACTCGAACTAGATAAGGGTCAAATAACACTCAACTAATATTGTACTCAACTCATCCTCCAACACAAAAAAATAGGATAAGCCACGTCCTTGGAGCAGGCAACAAAGATGTTGACTTAAAATATAAAAAAGTCATACTGAAGATAAATAAAGTGCTCGTGGGTCGGAAACTCATAGGCCAACTATGAAAGACCTAGAACGAGAATCACCAAGAGACAGAAAATTTACACATTCTTTAAAGAAGTCAACCAGAAGAAGATCTCCCTAAGACCTCAGTTTTAGTATGGATATTACTAATAAAATAGATCATATATGTTTAAAAGTCTAGAAATGATATAAGCCACAATAAAACATTTTTATAAAAGGCCAACCCCTATAAATAATGGTTTCAAATGTACACAGGAGTACCCTCTCCCGAGAAGTTTCGATTCCAATCCTGATTTCCCACTTACTAGAGCTAAGGAAACACCTCCCAAATCTCTCTTATTCGGTTCTTTCTTGCCTTAACTAGGTTACTCAATTGCCTAGCCCTTTCTCTCTCTCTCTCTCTCTCTTCTCATTTTCTCTCTCATTCTTGATATTTTATTCCTTGAGTGTGATTCAAGAACAAATTTGAATTCAACCCTTATTATTTTTTAATTTAGCGATCCTAACAAATTTGAATACAAAGATATATTTAAATATTTAAATAGTTATTCTTTCAATTTTCTTTCTAATACACATTATTTTTGCTTTTATGATGAATAATTATCAAGATTTTATGAATATTAGAAAATATCACTCTTTTATTTATTCTTATTACTTATAATCATTTGTATATAACTTTTTAGAAGTAAATAAAAATTAAATGATATTAAATTTTTGAAACATGTCATTTTTATAACTCGTAGGCACACTTACTCCACACATGCGACCAATGGCGGCCCGATGACCGTTCTCATTCATTAACCGCGTCGTTTGCCTCATGTGCTCCCTTACTTGTTAAAATGGCAGAAATATTAAACAATTTACAATTGAGCGGCAATGCTGAGAAAAACAAGAGAGAGAGAGTTTGGGCCTTTCTTTGCTTTTCTACTCATTTCAAAGTATAAATTACAGGAAGAACTGGGGGAGAGCTGAAGGACGGAGTTGGAGAAGAACTGATTCTACTACCATTTCATGCATCTGCTTCCGCCCTCTGGTGTTCAAAGGGTGTCATAGCTTCCTTCTCTTCCGCAGTTTTGATTTTGTACAGAGGAGCCAATCAACCAACCGGGAAACTTCAGCTCTCTCGGGAAGTTGGCGGGTAGAGGAATCTGAGTGAAAGATTCTATCTTTGCATTTTAGGGTTTGGTGGTGAGGATCTGTGATGAGTTTATCGCAGCAACAGGATGATCGGAACATGGAGGGCTGGCTCTACTTAATCCGTTTCAATCGTCTTGGCCTGCAGTACTCCAGGAAGCGCTATTTTGTTCTCGAAAACTGCGCACTCAATTGCTACAAATCTGTTCCCTCAGACAGGGAGGTGGGTCGGAGTTTCTTGGAGTTTTTCGCTTTGCTTAATGTTTTTCTGTTTTTTTTTATCCTACCTATAACGATAATCTCAATCAGAAGAGACCGAGATTGGAGTTCCTTAAAGCCCGTCTTTTGTAGATCTGTTTTGCGTTTCATTTACTTTCCTCTTTTTAATTCACCCGCTTTCCTTTCTTCCTTTCTTTTTCTTACTTCTGTTGTGGCGAGACGATAACCTGTTAATCTGCTTTCAGTTTCAAGTAACTTGTAGATAACTTCTCTTTCCAATCCATATGTGAAAAGTTTAAACTGATCTTTCTGAGAGGATTGAGAGAATAGTTCTAACAATTTGGATAAGAGAAATGTTGAGAAATTAAGGCAAAGAAAGCACAACAATCATCAAAATCAAGAAGAAAACACAGAGATTTAAGAGGTTCGGCAATTTGCCTACGTCCTCAGAGCAGAGCGGCTGCTTCTTTAGATTTCACAAAAAAAGAGTACAAATTCTCTTTACGGTTACAATACAACATATATATATATATATATATATATATATA